ATACAGACAGTCGGGGGTTAACCCACAGTAGGTATACAGGGAAGTTGGCACTTATATATTCTATGTATTTAAATTATGTGCATGCATTTGGGATGGCAATGGGGGGGGGAATACAAAAAAGAAAAATGTGAATTTCTTTTTTAAAGTTGCATGAATTTTTAGAGTGCTCATGATTTTTCATTTCTTGGTGTTTCTTCTCCCATCTCTTAATACAATTTAGAAGAAACTAAACAATTACTGTAAAATTGCACTGTTTATAGTTGCTGGAGAATATTCAGGCTATTGTATTGAACTTCAAAGCACAAATGTACTAAAATTTAATGGTGTGTGTCTCATATCTCACAAACAGCTTAAAACAATGGCATCACCCATTCTTAACTCTAGAACACATTTAGGTTTTCCGGTTCATGGTGTTTATTTTTCTATTTTTTGTTTATTTTTAGACCACTTATGACTCATTTTTTTAGGAGTGAAAAAAGTCAATTGTTTAAAAAAAACAAATTCCCCTTGAATTGTCTGAAATTGCCTCCCCCACCCCAGCACTGAAGTTCCACACTCCTGATAATCTTTTGCAAGCAAGTATGAGAAGTTTGGTAGAGTTTTCAATATTGAAGAAATTGTAGACTTTATGTAATCTTGAAAACCCTATTCTCAGATCTTTATTGGACTTTGTCACTTTTAACCTAAAAGAGGCAACCCTGCAAGTTAACTTTTTGATTAGGCTGAAGCTATCAGTGCTAATTCCTCCTTTTGTACGAAGCCTAGCAAAGTTTCCCAATTTTTTTTGATGTTTAAACAATATGGTACTGTGTGATTTGAGTGATCCTCACTGTTAATTAGCTTTCCACGTCCAATGTTGAAAGGTCAGCTAGATGTGCAACTTTAGCATCTAGAGCTATTTTACAGAACTATATATTCTGTGTGTCTGAAGTGTTTGAACTATTCCAAGCCTGAAATGTTGGGGGGTTTTCTGAGTCCCTTGGGGGATTATATCGTTCTTACAAAGAAAATACCAGTGGCATCAAAAGGGTCTGTAGTTAGTACTATTGACATGACACACAGCTTCTGAATCCAAAGTTGTCAGCCTCCAGAAGATCAATCTACCTTTGCCCAAATAGTGTCTCCAAATTAATATCGGGTTTAAATGATGTGACATGGAATAGCCTCATGTGACTGTTTTTGCGTAGCATTTTTTATTTAGTTTACCATATGCCGTTTTTAAAATTTCTTGTAATGCTAAAAAAAAGCTCTCCACCAAGAGGGTTGTTTAGGGTGCCCAAGTAGAGAGCTTAGTTTTAAAAATGGGGGAAGCAGGCAAGAACACTACTAGAATGTAAGGATCTAAAAAGAATCCTGTGTTGCATAATTACCCTTGAAACGAATTGGAACTGATAACCAAATAAACCTGTTGGGAAGTTCAGATTTTTCACAACAGAACAAGAATCGCACTTTACATTTTGTTAATTTAGTTTAAATTTATATTTATTGTAAATTATCAGAAGGCTTGTGCCTACTACTCTGAAATTTTTGCCAAGGTCTTGGAATTTAAACAGCTTAATGCATTGGATCAGTGGTTCCCAACTGCCAGTCTGCAGACGGGTGCTGGACTACAAATTGCCGGCTGCCAGGCTGCAGCGGTTCTGGGGGCCAGGGCTGGGGTACACTTCCCAGTGTCTCCTCTTTTGCTGTGGCTGGTGGGGGAGGGGGGTCCCGCCCCGCCCCCTTGCCAA